CTGGGCTGGTGGGCTGGGCTGGGCTGACCTGGGCTGGGCTGACCTGGGCTGGGCTGCCCGAAAACCCCAGTTTGAGGAGGAGGTGCGAGCGCTGGCTGAGAGCCATTTTGCTTGGCAGCACGGAACTGCCTTCCTTCCTTTGGGGCAACTTTCAGGTCAGACCCTGCAGGCGGTGGTGTGCTGTGGGGGTCGACAGCTTCTATGTGTGCAAGACTCCGTTGAAGTGAAGCATCTCAGCAAACCTGCGGACTTGAATATCTGGACACGCAGATTCTGCGGAGATCTTCCAAGAAACCAGCGTGCAGCTCTCGTCTTGGTGTTGCGGCTGTTGCTGAAGAGCTACTCCTTCACCACAGTTTTGGTACTGCATGCCGACGGGATGGACACTCTGGTCTCAACCATCCACGCCATGCTGTGGGAGAAGAAGGTCACATAAGGCAGCTTTAGAGGGAGGCGTTGAGCGTTCCACTGTGATGGAGTCTTCTATAACCAGTAACATGGACCATTGGGGCAGCATTATTACTGGCAAGCCCTTATCTGCTGGTGTGACAAACTTCTTGACCACAAGGGTCCGACAGATTTCAACTGCGACAGGTTAGGACCTATACAGTGCGAAGAGGGTTTCTCAAATCCCTAAAGCCTACCTACTCCCTGAAGTGCTATTAATTCTTGGGTAAATCTCCACTATATAGGTGCGGCCACAGTACCCGGTCTACAAAGCACAGTTGGGACGGCCCCAAACAGGCATTGCAGCTGCAGGTGACGCATCGCATACCGCTTCGGGTCAGGGTTTTAGGCTTTAGGGTTTAGGGTCGCCGTTGATACTCAACTCACATGCATGCTTAGGATAGGATGTTGCAAGAAATCCGTCGGCAATTTCGTCACCTAACTCAGAACCAAAACGAGGTGGTTGTTGATACGTGGGTGGTTGTCAAACTTATGGTCCCTTTTTGGGTCCCTATTATAACACGGCACCTATTATTTAGGGCCCAAAAGGGACTATAATTTTGACAACTACCCACGTGTCCTCGAACATTCCTTGTTTGGGCTTTTCTTGGTTTGGATCGCGTTGATCCCAATACAAAAGCCTATAGAACCTAAATCGTACCAATGCCATACTCCTGGGATCTCCTCCAACTGATGTTGAAGTTTGCTTTGCTTGCATAGTGCCTATACCTGGACCCCAGATGCCCTTTCTTTATTTGCGGTTCCATCCTAGTTTCTTAGATCTTTAGGACATCCAAAGTCCAGGTACGGGGTCTCATGGTCTACACCCCAAAGCCCCTAGAATGAACCCTTGTAGCAACCCGAAAAAAAAGCAACAGACCGTCGACCGGTAAAGGAACCTGTGAAGTAACCCTTAAAGGAACCCTTGCAGTACCCTTATAGTAACCCTCAAAGGAACCCTTGAAGTAACCCTTCGAGGAACCCTTGTAGCACCCCTTGTAGTACCCCTTACAGGAACCCGTTCGCTGTGTTTGTTTTTTTAAGTGCGGGGTTGCAGAAGCCCGGGGGAGCTCCAGCAAAGCCCAGCTCGAGCAGCTGAGCTTTTAGTAGTCAGAATGGGGCTTAGGGTTTATAGGGCTTAGGGTTTAGGGTTTAGGGTTTATAGGGCTTAGGATAAGGTTGAATAGGGAGGAACCAAGTAAGTAGTAGAGTTCTGAGGGATTCGAGGATGGGATTTGTTGCTGAAGCAGCAAGACAGGTAGGTTTGCTCAGGCTTTCAAGGATTATCATTTGCACTTTTAGTGCCACCCTTGTAGGATTTCGTATTCCCCAAGACTTGTTCCGTCTGAGGTGGCTCTTGCGAGCCGTGGGCAACGACTCAGTGCGCAGAGCGTGGAAACTCGGACAGCTATAGCGGTGCAAGGAAGACTTTGCAAACTGGAGGTCAATTCCGGATATTCGTATTTCTGGCTCTCCCGTCGATCACTCCACCGGGGAAAAAGGACATCGGACTCTCCGCATCACCGTTCTAAGTCCTCAGGCCCTCTTGCTTCCGCAGGCTGTGATATCGAGGCTAAGGCCTAGACGGTGCAGGACTTGAGGGCTGTTGGTCCAACTTGCTATCTCGTGCCTCTCTCTTCTCGACATGCTAATGCATGCACAGTTGAGGAATGGCTGGCTGCTTGGCAGAGATTAGTCGACGGTCAGTGTGGCTTGACGTGGCTATAAAGCACATCGAACTGCAGAATGTCAGCCCCCAGCCCGAACCTGCCCCCCCATCCGAGCAGAAAGCCACACCCCAAACCCAAAGGTTCGCTATGCCCAGAGTTACGCCACAAAGTCCTGGCGATGGGAACCGAACTTCGTCGTGGCCAACCTTTACAAAGACCAGGACCATACCCTCCGGCAATGTAGGGTTCAGAGTTTTGGGGTCGAAGGTTTATTTAGGACGAGTGTCCCGCTATAGTCTCGATACAATCGGCGGCTAAGGTTGAGGGTTTAGGGTCCGTGGAATCCTTTCTTCCAAAGACGTTTGGCTAAAATGGGCCAGTTCCAGGTGTAATACAGCAGCCGGAATACTTTTTTGTACGCTGTTCCTTCTAGTACAATAGACTCTGGTAGCTTAGAGCCATTAATTAACGCCTCCCACCCCCCTCTATTACCTCCCAAGGCGGTGTCTCCCATGCGAAACTGTCTAGCTCTCGTCCTGGACCGCGTTTGGTTCTGCACGATGGAGCCTCGACATTTCGATAACGGCACCTAATGTAGGAGCCTAAAATTTACCAATTGTTTTTCCTTAGGTTCCTTATCGCAGTTTTATTCAGGGGGCTCACAAGCCTAGTCTAACTATTAAGGCCCCTATATTAAACAGCAAAAAGGGGCTTACAGCACGCCTTCTCCAGCAGGCTCGAGCGGTGGCGGAAAAGCCAACAAATCTATCTTAGAAACCCCTAAACGGAAAACAAGCATCCGAACGGTTTCGTCTAGGACTTCTGGCACTAATCCCTGAGCAGCCTAAGTTTTTGCTCCAAGACTCATAATGAATTCAGTCATGTTTCTCGTAAAATAAATTGAGAGCCTGTGTGGAATAGGCCCACTCTATCGCTTCCAGGATGACTTCCTGGGTGCGCACAGCGATCCTGTTGATGTGCCCCCGGGTAGCACCTTTTGGATGGGCTGTTTCTGGCGTTTATGGGGAGATGATAGGGTGTAGGGTTGAGGACTTCGGGTTCAGGGGTGTGGGGTTTAGGGTTTAGGGTTTAGGGGTTCGCGCTGAAGAAAGGGTTTTTGGTGTCTAGCATCTAGAGTTTCGAAGTGTGGCTTTTTGAGCGTTCCGGGTTACCCCTTGAGCGCGAACATGGCATGATCATGGGGTCAGGGGCTGATGGTTTCTGCAGAATCAAAGCTCAACCCTAAGCCCCAAACCCTACACCCCTAAACCCTGAACCCTAAGCCAGTTGTGTCAAGTCCTGAGAGATGCCCCGTTGCATTGTCTCAGGGGGTAGAACTAGGGTCTAGAATTCGGCAAATTTGGGTTTAGGTTCATTTGTTTAGGGTTTAGGGTTTGGGGGGGGCAACAGCTGGGCATTAGGTAAAGCCCAAAACCCCAAACCCTCAAACTTGAACCCTAAACCCCTGAAGCCCCAAACGATAGAAATCCCTTCATGGAACAAAAACCTTTTTAGATCCCTTTAATTTAAGGAACCCAATTAAAGAACCCCCAAACCCTAAACCCTAGAACCCCTGAAGCCCCAAACCAAGGATCGGCCCCTTTGCCATCATCGCTTCCCTGACCTTCGGGGCCGCGCGCCAGCGCCCGGGCAAAGCTAAGACCAAGGGCCGCGGGTTTAGGCCTAAAGCTTGAGGTACGTATAGTGGTCGAAATGACTGGGCATGTTAAATTTAGTGCTTGTATGTACGTACATACATACATGTGTATATGGTTTGTATACACATACACATAGTCTGTGTATGTATGTATGTATGTATGTATGTATGTATGTATGTATGTATGTATGTATGTATGTATGAAATCTGTTCTAAATTCCCGAAGAATATTTTTTGCAAAGTGTATATTGGCGCTGAAGCTTAGTGTTTGACTAGCTTCGGCTCGAGTGTGTTGGTTCGGATCGGGCTTAGGGTTGGTTTGAAGGTTTAGGGTGAGGGCTTGAGCCCTAAACACCACAGCCCTAAATCCTACACCCAATACCCTGAACACCCCAAACACCCTAAAGCCTAAACCGCTGAACCCTAAGCTTGGCCCTAAACCTTAAATGCTAAAGGGATTCTCGGAGAGGCAGGTCAGGAAAAGAGCAGGCGAGGAGGGGAACATCAGGCCGTAAGCCAGGGCGCTTTAACAGGAAGAACGTGGTCTTGGAATCCTAATGACCCCGGAGAACCCAATACCCCTCAATTAAGGCATATACCTTAAATAAAAGGGTCCTTAATATTATGATTTAAGGTATATTCCTTAATTAAGGGGGCTTGGAATCTGCAGAATCCTAACGGAACAGTGTTCCTAGAACATGGGGCTTCTGTGTTGCAGCGAACCCTTCAGCCGAAGCCCAGGGGCAGGAATCATGGCTTCGCGGTGTAAGGATGTAGGGTCTAGGCTTTAGGGTGTAAGTGCTTCAAACCTGAACCCTAAACCCTAAACCCTCTTCAAACCTGAATCCTGGACCCTCCCGAAACCCTGAACCCTAAGCAGTTCTTGGAGATTTCGCCGGCGAGGTTTCGGATGAAGCCGACCGGCACCGTGCGCAGTGCCGAAGGCGTGGGGGCATACTAATCCCTAAAAGCCTAACCCTAAAAACCTAAGCATATAAAGCCCCCAAAGCCGAAACCTAATACCACGAACCCGAAAGCCTAAAAGCTTTTATCCTTACATCCTAATCCTTAAACACCAAGAGCCCTTTGGGGGCAGGTCGCATCACTTCCTTCAGCATCCGACTTCCTCACAACAGCCTCCTGGTGTCTTGGCCGTTGAGCATTTGGGCGATGAATGTCGAAGCAGAAATCATTACGAATATTATTCCTGCGGTTCCTGATTATACTTTATGCTATAAAGGAACCCAAACCCTAGTCTAGCTATGAAGGCCCCTATATTTGGGGGTCTCTTTATGCGGCATAAGGAGGTCAGACCTTGCAGGGAGGGAAAGTTGCGGGAAGCGATAGATTGTTTCGAGTTGTACCCTACTAAACCCTAAACCCTAAACTCTAAACCGTAAGCCCACTCAACCTTTCACCGTACAGGTGTTTTGTGGTCATGTGGGAGGGGGGTGTCGTTCTCACTCCCTGATTTCAGCTCCATTGTTCACACAATCGGTCTGGTTTGCCCAGGACATTCCCTTCTCTTGCAGACATTTAAAGTCTAGATCCTAGACTACATACTGATGCCCCACGACTGTCTCATCACCGTAGATCCCTTATAGGACCCTTACAGAACCCCTCTAGATCCCTTCTGTGAACCCTATGAACCCTAAACCCTGCAGCCCCGACCGAAGCTAAAGCTTCCCAGCATGTACACCATCCGACTCTTGGATGAAAGCCTGCACCGCACTACCAACACTTTGCAGACACCCAAAACGGTCCTGAACGGCCCTGCCTCGCAAACGATGGCAAGGTCTGCTGGGAGGGCTTTCAGGAATTCTGGCGGCACGAGGCCTCCGCAAGGGGCATGGGGGGGAGAGAGCAGACTTCTGGTTTGTTCGGATGTTATTCCGAAGAGTTTAAGTAGGGGCACAGGCAAGTTTGGGGTTTTGGGCCTCCGATTCTCACAAAGTCGGGATTCTGACTCTTGACCCTGTCTTGCTTTAGGTCGCGGATCGTGGGTTTGAAGGCTTGTGTTTAAAGGCGGGCATCAGTCTTAGACTCTCTATTCCGCTCAGCTAACATGTTTACCTATCCGTCCCTTTATCTACCTATCTAGTTTCCCCTTTACCAAGATGTGTTTTATAACGGCTGTTTTTTGTATTGTCATTGTTATTCTGCCAGCAGTCATTCGTCGCCGTCTGGGCATTTCGGGCTATGTTGCTTTTCACCCACAGGGTGGATTTGCATGTCCGGGTGTGTGGTTGAACAGAAGGAACATTCGCCATGTGACAGGTGTAATTCAGAACCCTAAGCCCTAAACTCCCCATGACACTCTCCATCAACCCGGGGTTGTACTGAAGATGGAACCCTGCCTGCCCTGCAGAAGCCCGCTGGAAAGGCCCGAAAAACCTGGCACTGGCCGCGAGAGCATATTATACTAAAATATACCGTATTCATTGTAGTCTAAGCCACCATGCTATACTACTATACCTATGCCCATACTGGACAGCCTGGAAGGTGCCCAAAGACAATGGTTTGAAGACCCACGCCATCGGCGGAAGGCACCGCACACAACATAACACTCTTAGTCCCTTCAGCCTTGGTGGCATGTCATTCCGGAGAGGTACTGGGTTTTGCGTAGTTCTGGCATAGTAGAGCCCATACACTTGAATCCGAATAGTTACCCTTGATATTCTTGGTTGTGGCATGGAGGTTCAAGGGGTTAGGTGTTGTGACCGACGGAACGAGCGACATGCAGCGGTGTCGGATAGCTGCTATCATCGAAACCATCATTCAGCCACCCAGTGCAGCAAGATAACAAGCCAGCCCAAGAACATATCAGGACTCCCCAAACCACCAAACGGTGATCCCTGAACCCTATGGAGCCTTATAAAACCCTGTCCTTATAGATCCCTTTACGGAACCCCATTAAAGAACCCCCCCCCCCCTCCAACCCCGAGCCCCCAACCCTGAACCCTATAGACCCCGTCTTGAACCCTTAAAGATGACTTAAGGAACTCCATTAAAGAACCCCCCAACCCAAAACCCTGAACCGTGAACCCTATAGATCCTTTCTTGACCCCTTTAAGGAATCCCATTAAAGAACCCCCCGAACCCTAAAACCCTGAACCTCACGTCTGGGTTTCGTGCTCTATGGCTTGTGGGGTCTCAGGAGCACTGCCAAAGCAATGAATCGGAAGCCCGGCCCCGAACCATAAAGAGGCCTTGATATGTGGAATAGGTTTTTTCTGGTGCCACTTCTTTCATAAAGAGACCGCTGATATGTGGAATAGGGTTTTGCGGGTGCCGTTTCTTTCGTGAGGCCTTGTGTCCGAATTGAACGTGCCTACGTTTTTCGGGTGTTGTATACTATACTTGTCGTCAAGAGCCCGATTGCTTCGGGCTCAGAGCCTTTGGCTTTCCCCTGCCTACAAGCCGAATGACAAAGCTTAGGGTTTAGGGCTTAGAGATTGGGCTTAGGGATTAGGGTTTAGGGTTTCAGGGCTTAGGGTTTAGTGTTCAGGGTTTAGGGTTTAGAGTTCAGAAGCAGAAGCTTTCGGATCAGGGGTACACGGATCACGGATCCAAGGGCGGTGGATCTCTTCTATGGAGCATAAGGAACCCCAAGGGAACCTCCGTCCCTTGAGGCACCCATGCCTTGCAACCCGAGCAGGTCACGGCTGAATTTCACATTCCGCAAGTCAGCAACCTGGCTCCATCTTATTTCAGGGCGTGAGAGACTAGTGGTGATCTTCCTTTGTAGTAGACCATCATCAGCATGATATCATATTGCCGCGAAACCCTGTTCGAACTACATATAACCCTAGATGATCGCCAGATTCTTTCTTTCAACCCAGAGAACCCAACATTCCTTAATCAAGGAATCTACCTTAAATCATAATATTCAGGACCCTATAGTTTAAGGTCTATTCCTTAATTAAGGGGTATTGGGTTCTCTGGGAAGGAGCCATCTTGGGGCGTAAGTGTTTGTGTCAGAAACTCTCGCCTCGGGTGGGATGCCATTCCGTTTTCGCGGTGGCAACCACCCAACTTCTTACTTACACACTTTAATTAGCACCCCCGAGCGCGAAATTCTCAGGGCTCGTCGCGAATCCCTGAATCCAGACCCAGTAGCAGTGAAACTGGAGAGACCTCTGAAGCTACCCTGTGACTACAATGACCCCACAAAGCAGCCCCTATACTATACCATGTAGAACCCTATAGCAACAACCTAAGAGTATCGCGATACAACCGTAAATCCAAACCAGCGCCCCGCTCCAAACTCCAAACCCCAAACCCTAAACCCCAAACACCAAAAATCCTAAACCCTAAGCCCC